ATTTGCCATTGAAAGAGTTAATCCTGTACCGTGGAACCTTCTATTTGTACCTCAGCAAAGACAGGATTTTATTCTGTTTCTCCAGTAGTTCTTCCTTTTTATCTCTATTCCGAGCGTGACTTTCTAATTATGGTACCACTTCTGCTTGTTTTGAATTTAACACACCTTGTCTTTCAAAGCTTTACATTTAAATTGTTTTTCCCTGACGAATGATCTCGTTCGTATTTTTCAGTTTTAGATTGTGCCAATGCAAATTCTGAACCCTATGTATTGTTCAGTTTTAGTAATAGGTATTTGTGAAGCTTGTAGCAAAGTTCAGACAGAACCTTTTTTGCACCTGAACGTATTTGAATGCTCACACAAATAAATCTTTATTACCTTCATTTATTCTGAAATATCTCATTAAGATATTGCCTCTGAGACAGTGGCAAGTATTTCTTCATCATGCCTATTTTCATCATTAAAACAGATGTCTTGCAGCATAAAAGAAAAACTACCCCTAGGTTCAATATTCAGTCTTGCTGCCTAAATGTGTCTCTTTCCCCAGAGCAATAGACTTTACACAGAAGGAAGACGGCAAACCTGAGCCTGAGTGCTGTGTGCTAGGCCCTGTTACTTGTCAACCCAGAAAAAAACCTACTTCTTCAAAATTCTGAACTTTGACATTTCCACTGCTCCTGTCAGTGCTCCTAGATAACTGGCTCAATGCTTTATAGTTCTTGGAAATAGTAACAGCAGTTAGTTAGTTAGACTCTTGATTAGGTAGCTGTTCCTCCCCCTGTGCCCAGTATTACTCTGAGGTTTACCCTCATTTGTTTCATCAAAGGTGCTTCTTGTTCTGGTAGCTAAGAGCGTATTTTTGCCTTCTTTTTAATGAAGAAGTTGGTCATTTTGTTTTGCATGACAAGGAGGTAACTTATCTCACTTACCCATGGGGTTTTCTTTACTTATTAAACAGATATGACTTTTGGAAGAGAGAGCATTAAAGTCTTAAATGTGTAGACCTATCTATCTACCAGGCTTGGTACAGAAAGACCCAGGTTCTCTAACCGTTCTGGAAGCTGTTGAGGTCTCATGGCAGATCTTTGTATCACCATGGAAACCCTTGCTCTATGCACATTGATAGCCTTAATTAGTAATGGTTTAACAGTACAAGAGCACTGTCACGCTACCAGAGCAGTGACACCTCTGCCCTGGTTGGGACAGCAGCTGAAGGAATGGCTGTACATGTTCTCGCTCTTGTCGCCATGCTCTGACCCACAACACACTTGCTGGCAGGAGCAGTTCGTGGTTTTCCTTTGTGGCCAAGTGAATTGGAGATAAACTGAACTATGTTTAAATTTGAGCACTGGTTTATAGCTCCTCTTTGGTTAATCTCTGGACATACATAGGATGTTCTGTGTGCTCTGAAACATTAAGGCTCAGCTTAAAGAAACAAATTTAGCTCTGCTGTTGTGAGACACGCAGCTGTATACAACATGAGGGGAAATTCACCCGTTGGTGTCTTGATATTCAACATTTCAGCCCTTCCATAAAGAGGTGCTATTACAGAAATACAGTTGTGTTTGCATTTGACATAGGACTAGAGTAGTGGGAGCTTTTCCCCAGTCATCTGTTAACGTGAGGACTTGCAACGGAAGCGAGCTTACCTGGAGAGGCACAGAACTCGGGGGATTTAGTGGGGACTAAATTTACAGCGCTGGCTGGAATCTCAATCAGAAACTTAAATGAAGGTTTAAGGTACGCTGGTTGTGAGCAAGCAATCGTTTTAAAAGCTACATGTGCTTCTTTTTAAGTTGCATTTAATTGTGTTCCAGGGCTGTATGTTGGGGAAATTCTCCTCAGAGTAGATGGTGGCAGAATTTGCTTGGTGAATGTGTCCCTTGGTTTAGGAGCTTAAGATGAGTCAGGCCTAAGGCAAGGGCAACTGGCCAAAAGGCCAGGACATTTAGAAAGAGACAAGACCTCATTTATGGTAGAGATGTGTATTTTTATATGTAATATATAGAATATTTAAATATAGCCTATCTTCCACTGGGAGTTGCTGAAAAAAGCGTGCTGTATCTTGAATGTCACATTACAATCCTTTGCTATTGAAAAGTATTGATGCTTTAAAAATCTGATCTAGATCGGTAACAGACAAGTGTAGTTTGAAAGCAGCATGGCCTCAGTCTCTGAAAGAAAAAGAAGTGTACTCAGATTTTTGGGAGGTGGTTTCATGCTCAGAAGGTGTCTGTGTTACCGTGTCACACGGATGATGCTCCTGTGCAGGTTGTGCATCTCCACCCGGCCGTGGCTGCGCCGGCGACAAGCTGGCCCCACATATGCAGACGTTTAAAGTAGTGGCACTGCTGCTTTGTCAGGGATTTCAAGATTAGGCAGTAAATAAACTCACTGCTTAAAAAACCCCCAAACCTCTAAAACCAGTCATTTGAACCCAAGGCTTGCTTTTTTGTAGTAGCAGATGCCCAATCTATTTTTTTAACTTAATTTTCCTTGCAGCTGCACTTTGTAGTCGGTCACCAGTTTCCTGAAGGCTGGCGGCACGGTGGCTCCAGGCCAGGCCAGGCTCCAGGCCCTGCCTCTGACCCGCTGACACGTCCCCTGTGGCTCCTCCTGCTTTGGGTGGCGTTACTGGGGCTTGCAAACAAACACGGTACCCGTCTGTAACGGTTTTACATCAGCCTTACTTCCAGGGGAATGTTTTCTCCTTCAGAAACGGCGCTGCCAGGCACAGGGCTCGCGCACGCAGCGGTACAATCACAGATTATTTTTGTAAGTTGCTGGGGAGGAGCTTAAAGCACAGCAGGATCTGCAGGCTTGCTTTCTGGAGCGGTGCTGTGCAGAGGTGCCAGTAACTGCACTGAGCAGATGCAGGAGACAAATTGTATCTAACAGTTTTCTGCCTTCTTTTAAAGCCTGATTACAGAGGACAATTAAAGTGTATATCTGGTTTTCTGTAATATTGCTGCCTGTCGATAACAGTGTATTTAAATTTTACTTTTTGTTGCTCTACACTGACTTATTATAATAAAACTTGTAAACTACATGACCTAGAAATAAAGAAGAAAAAGTTTCATGAAGTTTTGCCATCCGCGTGGTCAGTAAGGTGAGACTGGGGGGGTCTCATCCCAGGAGGGGCTGTGCTGGCGGGTTCCGAGCTGAGCTATTGCCCGTGAGTCAGTAATGGTAAGCTGAAAGTTTGTAAATTGTTGTTCAGTTTGTCACCTCAGAATCTTGTGCAAGAGAACCTCTTTTCTAAAGAGTTGTGTTTTTTTTTTTTTTTTAAAACCTCTTTGCTGTAGAAAAAAAGTAATACAAAAAGGTAAAAATGCTGACTGAGGAACCAGGTGGATACTCTGTGGCCACAGCCTCAGCTGCACTCTGCTGTCATGAAAACTAGAACCTTATCTTCATCTTTGCCTTAGATGTTACAGAAAAAAAAATGTTTTCCAAACCTACTTTGTATGCCAATGAAACCTAGCTAGAGAAGGTGTCACTAAAAGCCTTTCTTCGGAGCGCTCAGAACAAATAGTGCTAGTGAATTTTATTTTAAACGGCTGGGGCTGCTTGGATAGAAACTTCAATTTCAGCTGAATTAAAAGACTGGTCCTCAATATAATTTCCACTTAAAAAAAATAAATCTTTACATCATTAAAGATGACGCTTGTAAAGGACAGATGCAGGGACCAAGCCTGCAAAGCTCTGCAGCCATGATTTCACAGCTCAGTAATACTCTGGAGGGGGGAGGATGAAGGCCTGCAGCGCGTTCTGTGCTTCATGGCGCCGCCAGGTGCTGGTGCTTGTCCAGCTTTGCCTTTCCAGGCTGAGCTGTTGTTAATCTGTGCCCCGTTACTGCCCCTTTCCGTCAAGGCCTACACCCCTGTCCACGGTCCTGGCCAGGGGCAGCGCCGTTCCTGCACACCACCAGTTCACCGAAGCTGCTGAACTCCTTTGCTTTGGCCCTGCAAAGCAGTGTCACAGGCTGGCAACAGACAAGCCCGTGGGACCTGCAACCTGGGGAAAAAGGTCTTTTATACCTGCTTTCTACATTTGTCCTTCATCATGTCATAACCAGCCAGAGGTGATGCTGGAGGGTAGATGGGATCATTATATTCAGGGGAAATAATAATAGCTAAGGAAAAGAGTGACTGCAGCAAGTTACCTGCCCAGGGGATTGAAGGTCTCTGCACAGCTGAAGGAAGTATCCTGAAATACCATTTCCCTCTGTCAGGAATTTGGGCACAGAGACTGCTGCTGCTTGTAAGGGGTCAGGAGCCCATCCTCGTCTTGGATACACGTGTATATAAAATCTGTGTTTGGGGTGTGGGGAGGGGATAGAAAGAAGGTCTACTGTCTTGCAACAGCAATGTATATGATAGCATTGTGAGGTATTTTATTCCCTTTTGTTGTGAGCAAAGCTGTCAGCCATGGCATACAACACACACACAGGTAACTGTTAACAAAGTGAAGAGCGAGGTGAATAAAAATTAGGGGCAGAATTGTCCCGGCTTCATCTCCCCTACCTGGGTTCAAGCCCCTCTGCCTCATGCTGTGTCTCCTCAAAGGCCCGTAACGGTGACAGGCGTTTCCAGCACAGAACTTCTGTTAATGGAGGCTGCACATCACTCACGTGATGGACTGCTTCTTAAAACCTCAGGAGAAGCATCTGAGGGTAGTGGGCTTGGTGCCACCACCCTGCTGAGCAGGCCAACAGCTTACCACGAGTGTGGCGTTCGCCAGGTACACAAAATGGGTGTTTCCCTGCTGCTTGTTACTGCCACCGAGCCCCAGAGGGGAGAGGGACAGACTGAAACGCCAACAATGAACCACAGGTCAGGCTAGGATGGAGCAGCAGGCAGGATGAAGACTTGGGGCTCCAGCAGCATCCCCAGCTTGTAGCAGTTCAGTTCCCGAAGCGCTCTAAAAATGAGTCGCAAACAGCTGCGGTTCTCGTAGCATACAGCTTCTCTTTCAAGTTTGTAAAACAAACAGCAGAATGTCACCACAGCCTTTAATTTCTTCTTGTACATACCACTCACAGCACATTAACAGCCCGAATAATATTGCACTGGATTATTTTAAAAATGTTTCATCTTGCAAGTAGTATTCACTTTTCAAAGCCAACAGATGAACAGTTTGGTCATTTTGCACCAAGGAAATGGTTAGATAGGAATCCTATACTTTATTTATGCCACATGGATTTGTAACCCCAAAGGGACATGAGAATGAGCTGTAAACTGTTTCCTTGTTAAAGATAGAAAATTAGTAATTCCTTGCTGATTAAACGTAGAAAGACTGGGGAAAAAAAAAAAAGAAATCTGAAGGTTATCTCATTCCTGTTAGACTGCTTGCTGTATATATAATTAGATTCTATACTGTGAAAGTCCACCTACGTTTAAAAATCCAGCAGTCTACAAATTAACATGGTAAAAAAAAATAATATATTTTTATGAAAAGAGAAGAAATAGTGTTTGCCTCAGAGGAGAAAGTTTTCAGATTGTGAAGTATTTTTTTTTTTTCTTTAGGTGCAATCTCAGAGGCAACAAAAATGTCTTTTGGCATTTGGCACTCTAATAAGGACAATATTTTAATACTGGCACAAGCTAAAAACAGCACAGAATGACAAAATACAAGACATGAAACGAACCGCAGCCACTGGGGTGATGGTAAGCTAGTCTGACCACACGGAGAACTTAAACAGTTTTGCTGAGAGATGGTCAAAGTTTCTGCAAAACCATACTTATTTTTTTCTTTTCTTTTACCAAATAGTAAGTTTTACTAAACTTGGAGGGAGAAAAGAGTTTCCAATGTCCTCTAGAAAATCAGCAGCTGCTGGAGACGGACGGGGCGGCTTGTTCAGCCGTCAATAGGCGTGAGGCTCTTTGTGACTCAGAGCTCGAGTGCGTGAGGCAGAGCTGGTGGCACTTCGGATCACTTCCATCCATCTGTGAGGAGGCACGAGGAGAGACACAGACAGAAAAGGGTCATTTCCCAGGGAAAGATTTCTTGGAAGACACAGGCTGTGCTGCTAGTTGTACGGTTTTACCGTCCATGCCTACGGGAACATCGTGGTTGCTACTTTACTCCTAAGTCTATCCAAAGTGAAGAGGTTGAGTGACTGCCAAACGTGTATCTGAAAGGAGGTTTAGAGGGAATAAAAAGGGGGGGATGTGACCCAAAATTCATGAACTTAGTGGTTTTACTTGTCCTGCAGACACCAAATCTCTATTTTTTTTTTTTTCCCGGATGGTCCAAATAGTGAGCAGCTGAGACCAACCGCTCAGTTCTGGAGTGGAAAAATGTAATTCGGCTGGAGCACCTACTTCATTTACCTAGAACTGAAAAAGGGCTTTTTTTTAATTTTTTTTTTTATTCTACTCTATTTAATCCTCTCTGTCCCACAATTTGCCTTTTTTATAGACTGACAGGGCTAAAACAATAATAGCTTTCTTCAACAAGAGCCGACAGTAAGATTTTTGACATGTTAATACTTCTTGTATAAAAGAGCTAAATTAGTTCCCAGTATGAACAACCTCAAGCCACACTTTAGGAGTAATGCCTCTTTCCTGGCTATCCATGTATCTGATATTTAGTGGGAGGTGTAAAAATTACATGCTGAAGTAGGACAAGTACATAGTAAGAACTTCTGGTGCTTCTGGGAAAAAATCAGGATTTTGTTTCAGGTGTGGATATTCCATCCGGTTGTACTGGAGGGGGAATGAAGTTATTCTGAAGAGCTACTGAGAAGTCCTGTGATCTGTTCCCATGCTCCCTGAAGTCTAAGCCATAGTGCTGCCCATGCAGCCAGCCTGATCAATTTGGACTGGATAATTCCTGCACATAACACAGGCTCTGCAGTGCTTACTGTTACAGCTACCACAGGAGTAAAACCAACCACTTGGTTCTAGTGTTACCAGGTTTAAAATGTCTTTTATAATTTTAAAGGGTTCTTCCTCTAGTTGTGCTGAACTACTCGCCAGTATTACTGAATCAATTGACTAAAGTTTGCATCTACTAATTGTGTATGTCTCACAGAAGACCAACTTACCTTTCAAATGTGTATTCACTTTCAGCCCTGAAGTAGTACACGTGGGATTTGAAATGTAGCTTGAACACGTAATCTTTGTGAATGTTTTCAGATTCAGAGGGAATGGTAAGTGAATATCCCAGTAAAGGAAGGCTGGCTAAGGGATGATTGTCCTGAAAAGAGTGACAGAAAGGTTGTGAGATCAAATGCCCTTAAATAAAGAGAGCACATAAGCAAACTGGAAGGTAGATACACACTCATTCAAAGGTCATCATCATGTTTCTGCTAGTGCATGGAAAAAACCCACCAGCTTTATATGCAATGAACATTATTGTCTGGTAAGTTCAGCTTGCCCATCTTTATGGATCTTTCTCATAAGGATCTGCTGCAGGCTCATCCTATCAGTATTTCCTCAGAAGACAGTTGCCTGACATCTTTGGGCTTTCACTGCTTCCAAGCTGACAAACATAAGGTTCCATCACTTGGCATCAGCAGAGGAACGTGTGTGTTCACCCTCTGCTTGCAAACACCTGCTCCTTTAGCCACCTAATGGCCACCCTGCAGCACTCATCGCTTAGGTCCTTTCACTTCCTGACATGGCATGTACAAACAATTTTTTTATGCTGTTTTTGTGTAGAATATCTTACAATTATTTTTTTTTAGCGCAGAAAGCTCTTATCTCTGAGGATTTCTACAGCAATAAAAAGAAAATGCAGCAATTGGATTAATTTTGTGCTTATGCCCTGCTTGAACACAGAGATTCAAAAGTCCAACAGGACTAGACAGGAAAACCCCCTGGTTTTGCAAGGGGAAGTTTGCTCAGGTGGATGAATCACTGGCCACTGTTCTCTCGTTTCACTTAAGTGTTAGTAATGGCAAAACAAATTTTCAAGCCACTATTAAGTTTTTAATTGTAATCATCTCAGAATCAGTACAAGAGAAAGCTTGTTTAAGCTCTCAGCACAGCCCCTGAGCAGGAGCAGTCCCTGCTGTACGTTTAGGGATGATGTGTCCTGTGAGCTCAGCTGAGAAGCGAGCAGGTCGAGCGCAGGCTCTGCTCTGACACAGCAGCAGTAAAGGCTGCGTAGCCATGACCTGCTCCTCTCACCCACACCGCCCAAGGCTGATGTCCCATTTTGGTACTGCTACTGCTCTGAAAAAACAAAAGGTCTTCTCCACCCACCCACACTTGTGCAGTCTGTTACCTGGTGTGATTTATAGAAGAACATACAGAAGTTGGTGAACACCACCCAAAGCTTCTGCCACCCGTTGCTGTTTTTGAATTTTCTTAGGAGATTTCCAGACAGCTGGTTCTGAAACAGATCAAAAGTAGACAAGTAAAGCAGTGAAAGGTACCTGCAACTTAACTAGTGTATGAAACATTATCTGCTTTGATCTGGTTGTATGTGACCTTGTTGCATGTGAAAATGTTTTAGTTGAATGGATGTATTTTTATTTTGCATTTCTCTACCACTAAACAGTACTTTATGTAACATCTTTTTGTTTGTAGTTGGGTACTTCTAAAAACTTCAAGCTACTACACTGTTTTGGTTTTTTTTTTTTTTAAATTGAGGTGGTTTTCAGTGATACGTTACCAAACATCAGTCTCATTATCCTAGTCTGTCTTTTTTTAAAAAAAAGACAGACTAGGATAATGAGACTGATGTTCGGTAACGTATCACTGAAAACCACCTCAATTTAAAAAAAAAAAAGATACTTAAATAGAATAATGGAAACAGAAAGTCTGACATGAATTTGTGATGTAAAGGAAAGTTATGACATACTTTAGAATAGGAGATAGAGATTGTGCTCTCAGTACCCAGTGAGTTCACATGGTAACTTATCAAAGATTTCAAAAGCAAGGACTGTTAACCTTAATTTTAGCCAGATTTTCAATATTTTAAGGAAAAGGAGGAGGAAGGCATAACCAAGTACAAGTATTTAACAGCTGGCAGAAGAAACGACTCTTCACATAGGGAAGATGCAAGGTCCAGCATTATTGTGCCTTGCAAATGAAGTGAACTATTAATAACTTCCCACTCCTTGTAAGGGCTCTCACCTGGATCAAAATAGCTGTTTACAGCATTCTCATTATATACTACAGAAGCTAAAAAAAACCTGTAAAGCTTAATAGTCAAAGTCTGGTGGTCCTGGTGCATCTACTAGAACTGAAATATTCTGTCTTCACCAGTCTCGGACACACACTAGAGCCTTTGCTTTACATCATCCCATTCTCTGGTATCTGGACTGCTGCCTCCTTGCCCTGAGTTATGGGTGTGCTCCTTCATTTTCTGTTACCTCATTACTCTGGAGGATATCATAAAAGGACAGGCTTTGCATTCGGTACCAGCAGACATATGAAATGGAAACAGGCCGCTGATCACTGATCAGTCCAGCAGGTAGGGAAGAACAGTCACTGACAGAGAGAGGATCTTCTACCACGAGAGAGACAGAAAGGAGGGAGAGACACAAAGAAAATAAACGATAATGCTGAAGTGAGAGCCACCAACAGAATGACGTGAGCATGAGCGTAACCTGCCAGGCATGGAGCAGCGGTGGAGCTGAAGAGCTTTTCAAGGAACAACCTACATCTCCAGGGTGTGTTTGGTCTTCGCTGCTCTGTCTGCATTTGTTTGAGGCACAGAGAGGAACAAAACAAAGGGATGATGAACACTGAGCTCAGACCAAAAGATTTGCCTAACTAGATGTTTTACTCATTAGAATTAGTCACCAGTTTAAGTCTAATACCTATTTATAATAAGCCCTCTGCTTTAGGGGAAATACAAGACCTTGTTCCATGCTGAACTGTTCCTCCCTTGCAGGATATAAGGGTACAAAGATCAGAAAATTCACCTTCATGGGATCTAAATGATACCCCATTTACTCCAGAAAGTTACTCCTTTCTGGTACAGAACAGTTTTCTTTGCTGTATTTCAGCATTTCACCCTCTGTTTAAGAACACAGGTGGTCATACAAGCTGTGAGCATTGCCTGTCCTTGCACCTCTGAGTTCTGTGTCATCTCCTCTCGAGCAGCAGTGACCTGCTGTCTGAGGCTGCCTCGTGAGCAGAAGCCTGCTCAGCTTTAAGATTCCTTTTTACCTTTTTCTTTGAGCATAAATTCCCATTTGATGAGGACTGTGATGAAGCATTCAGGGCTCCCTGGAGGCTCTCTTGGGTGAAGGAAGAACACCCAAGCAGGCTTACCACCTCATCCTAAGACCTAGGCTGAACTCAGAGTCTCTCATTCAGTCTTTGAAAAGTCAGAGTCTGCATCTCGGCTGCTGAGTATGGAATTAACGAACGTCTATCAAATTGGCTTAGCTGTGCTCAGGGGAAAAAAGGATCTTTATTTGGAGGTGGAGAACGCAAATAAAGAAAAAAGCAGATGAGACTGAGCAATGAGACAAGGTTCCAGAAAAGATGGCTAGGTAAAGAAAGTACGTTAGTAATACACATAATTAAAACTCTGGCTGCAGCAGCTAAAGACAATATCCTTTCAGCTCGAGCAATGACTTAATGCCTCTGTAACTGAAAGCATTAAGACAGTTTGACCTGCTTTAGATTTTAAAGGGTATCAAAATTTTTTTGGACAGTTACTTCTATGGAAATCACTGTTCTAACTGATTTTTCAAAGAGACACTGAGGGAGCAGATGCATGTTTCTGGACTGATGGTTTTCCCATCGTTTGAGTATACGGGAGCCGGTTTAATAGGTGTGCCCGAAACTCCCCCAGAAGGAGACAAGGGAACAGAGCACTGATTGAGGAGGAGCAAAAAGGAAATTGTCCTTGGAGAGCGAGTCTGGAGCTGCAGTTCAGATCGTTCTGAGGCAGATACCTCCACAGCAATACTAAAGTCGACCATTGAAACACTGGTATTTCTGTGCCAGCAGACGTGCACCGTAGTGTTGCCACGGTGTGGTGACTGACGTTCGAGTGAGGTGCGGGATGCACTGAGGTCGTCCTCAGATTCCTGGTCTACAGGAGTTTCATCAGGAGACTCTATGAAATGCAGGGAAAAAGCATCTTTCTTCCTCTATGCAACAACATATATCATCGGAAAAATCAAACAAATCAATGCTGTCCACAATACTGTGAACTAATTTTAAAACACACTTCTACAAATAATTTTGTGCAGATGTTAAGTAGGTTGTTTTGTTGCTTTTTGTTTTTTTATTTTTTTCCCACATGTTTCTGCAAGTGTTAGAATCAAAGACTAACATGCTTTGTTGGTGCTTTTAATACCTTCCAAGGACAGGCACTACCCAAATCTGGTTAAATAGCTCCTGGAATAATCATGCTTAAGTCACTTCTCTATTCAGTGAAACTTTCTGCTAACATCAACAAAGAACATTAAAATGGCACATATTTAAATATATATATACATGTATATTAAACAAATCAACTTCAAATGTATCAGTTTGACCTGTGGCCGCATTTTTCACCGCTTTGCATAGAAGCAATCACCAGTCACAATCATACTGACAAAAGTGAATAAAACCTACTCTCTAGCATTTACTTACTGTTGTCAGGTGGGCTGCTAGCCAGTAACTCCGGGGCAGGGCCACTGCTCTTCTCTGCCAGGCCTATTGCCATCTGAATGTCCTCAGTCCATTTGTCCATCTCAGCACGGGTACTACCAATGAAAATTCAGGTTTTATTCACTTTCACACAGGCTGAAAGCAAACTCTAAGAGTCACAAGCTGAGCTTAATTTAATTTCAATAAATAAATTCAGACACAAGATGCTACAGTTTTTTTCCCTAATAACTCAGTTTTGGTTCTGACTTGCACAATTGCTACTCTGTTTTGTCCCATTCTCCTGCTTTTTTGTTTTCTTGTTGTTTGTTTGTTTGTTTTTACAAGCAGCTGTCACAAAAGAATATACCTTCGAAATTGTTTTAGGAGCAAATCAAACAAATTGACACCTCTCTGCTTTTCTATCTGTGCCACTGTGAAAGCTGCAGAGAAATACAGTTGACAGGTGAATGTTGTCTCCACTGAATTACCTTGCAGCAACAACGATGGACTGCTGTTGACCTCGCAGTGTCAGACAATGTGGAACCCCCCATTCCTCTTCACTTTCTTCTATCTGAGAGATAAAAGCCCAGAAGCAGTCAGATTGCAGGAATTACTTATTGGGGAAAAGAAAACCAAGAGAAATGCTCACAAACAACAATTCCGAGCTAGGTATTGAGGAAAAAAAATGGTTGCTTGCATGTTGGAAAACCAGTAAGTTAGGTCTGCAATAACCTCTTAAACCAAAAGCATGGCTTTGTTTGCTTTGTGTCAAAAAAAGAAAACAACAACAGAAAAGAAAAATAATGGTATATTTATCAGAAGAGTGACTCCTTATACAAAAGGACATGGTAAGGGCTGGGACTGCTGCAGGATACTGCAGCGTAACACAGCTCTCTTGTGAACGTGTCCATGCCAAACGGGCAGCAGTAACTGAGCAGCTTCCTATAAACACCAGGTAAAACTTAAAGCCTTGCAGGTGTTTAGAAAAAATGTAGTTACTTTGGTAGCATTACCTAACTCAATTTCTCAGGAAAACAGTATGGAATGGATACAAACTGATGAGAAGTTCCAATGAAAATAATGGAGGGATTAAAAGTGTTTTGAAACCAGCAAAAACATTTTTGAATTCCTTTAAGCAGAAGAGGTAACTAGGTGCTATTGCCTTGAATTGACTGTTTTCCAGGACTGCAACAAGAGCTCCTGACATGCTGCTGCCATTTTCTCACTACTTTAAGATACACTTTAAGATACTCAGCTGAAAACATTAGGAATTTTTTTTTTTTAATAAATCAGGTTGTTGCTACTCTTTATTTGTCTTGCACAGTACGTCTGTAAGCAATTGGTGATTAATTACTCATAACAATCATGGTTAAATAGATGATTTTAAAAAAATCCCTCATCTCAGCAGAAGTCTGCATTATGAGGAAGCTTCCCCTCCCCAAATGCTTCTTTTCCCCCCTGCTTTTGCTATATAATCAGCTTTGTGCAGAAGGCTGCACAAACACATTCTGAACCCAACACAGCCCCACCAGGCACTGCAGAATGTCACCACAGCTTCCCCAAATCAGAGAACAGCCCTTTGCTGCTGCTTTCAGTTCAGCGGAAATTCATTGGGCAGTTAAGATAGGACCACAAATGGCCATTTAAGCCTGAATCCCTTAAGTTCTCACAACACTTACTGTCATGCCATACAGGGGAAGATGCCCGTGGACTTTAAACTGATTTGATGCTGTCAGGCCTCTACTTGTGTACAACAAGATATCGTTAAACTAAAAAGCAAGAATAAGTGTTATTAGAATGATGTTGGCAAGTATGTACGTAGAAAAAAATACTAAATCAGGATGGTAAATAGATGCAGGCTAGCCAGTACTGGCTGGCTACTTACATGACAACCCTAATGCATGAATCCAAAATATCAGCTTCCACAGCATTCCAGTACCTAATATTAGCACCTGTTATTTTCCCCACCTTCCTCCTCAGGCATGTTCCCCTAATTTTCCACTGGGTATCTTCCAATGCCTTCTACTATCCCCTTTGTGGTCCCTGGGTCAGGAGTGAGGAGCCGCAGCAGCGGTGGAGCCGAGTGGCACGTTTCACACCCTGCTGCACCTCCAAGCTGCAGAAGATACGTGTGTGTTTCACCAGTGTCTTCTGCTGCTTTCTGTGCAAAGACAAGCAAGTGTGCCCCAGAGAGGCGGGGCCAACTGAGCTCTTATGAAGCCAGTGGCTATCTATTACTCCCCGTATTCAAGAAGGCTGGGAGACCTGTTTTAAGGTAGATGGCTTTAGGTTAGAAATACCAAGGTGAGGATACTTGAGTATCCCCATTTGTAGAGATCCCTGCATTTAACAGCAGTTGTCCAAAGCACATCCAGTGACTGCCTGCATTCTGTTGCCATAGAACGGATGGCATATTTTCACTGTGTCACCTGGGTCAAAGGATGTTTGTCTCAAACCAGGCAGCTGCATCAAGAAAATCATATTCTGTGGTGTGAAACAGCTCTCACCACAGACATCTGCAGCCCAGCAGCAGTAGTTCAAAAAGCTATGTGGATCAGCCACTAGAGGGGGATTTAATTTTGCCAGTGATTACACATGTATTTGCAATCTCTGAATACAGAGCTGGGATTTTAAGTCCAAAAAAGATTCTGGACAGATCAAAGACTTCTCTGACAGCCTGGGGAACAGACTCGAGAGTCTAGTTCCAATTTTTTAATGTTTTATATGGATATAATATCGAGGCATCATCTGGTAACAAGAATTGTGGTATGCAAGAAAATATGCACCACATTCATTAGGCTTTCCCTTTAGTGCCTTTAAAGGCAGAGGATAATCCTCCCCAGGTAGATTTAGTGGTTATATCTTTGGCACACTTGAAAGATTACACATCAAACACCCAGTAATACCTAGTGCACTCACAAGCTTGTCTGTCACACCCACTGCCTTCACCTCTTGCATGCAAGAAGCCAAGGAAGTTATTTCCCCAGCACTGGACACCTTTAAGATTCAGCTGGAGAGGGTGCTGGGCCATCTTGTCTAGATGGTGCCTTCACCAAGAAAGGATGGACCAGATGATTCTTGAGGTCCCTTCCAACCCGGTATTCTATGATTCTATTTTCTTGCCACATTGCACTGACTCTTTAATGTTTTCCCCCATAACGCTGGACTAGAAAATCTATGCACTCTGCTGGGCATCCCAATGCCCCAGCACCAAGGGCTCAGCAGCAGCAGGACTGGGGAGACTGGGAGCAAGTCAGCTGGCCAGGAAGAAAAGAGAGGAATAGTTTTCTCTTTGTATGAACCAGTTACAAAGAGAATATTTGGTTTGAACAGAAACCCAAGTTCTCAACAACCCGCTACAAAGGTGATGTATTTTGTTAACTTAAAAAGGCTGTTCAAAAATACTAACTGTAACTCAGAACTCAAGTCTAACAGTATGTGTAACAGCTGCCTATAGCTGCATTCCATTATAGAAAGAAAAACTGTCATCTTGCTTACCAGAAAGAACATCCGTTGCTGTAAACCTTTTCCAGACAGCTTACTAAGACTGCCCAGTCTAATGAACTCCTGTGGGAAACAAACACAAAACCAACATATATCTTCTGCAAAAATGATGATAATTTTTTATTACACAAACATAAATAGGACTACCTGGTCATAGGACTGACCTGACTATCATCACCAAGACTTTTTTTTTTTTTTTTTATTGAATATGTTAAAAATCTTCTTTACAGGATAATTTCAATTCTTAACTGTCTTTAGGATCAATTGCTTTACAGTTTTTTAAGAAAATCCAGCTAAGCATGATTTTCTTTACCTAACACTGATTCCTTCAAGTCAGCTCCCTCTTTCACCAGTTTTGAATATTTTTCACAGTACAAATGATATAAAAACTAACGAGAAGTTGGCCAGTATGTTATTGGTTACTCACTGGTAGGCTTCTGTTGTGCATATGGCATATGTAGCTCTTGACTGGGATATTAAATCAGCTCCACAAATCACCAGCAGCAGAAAAAAGGAAATTTGTCTGGCAGTGTTACCCTACTACTATCCATCCACATAATACAGTACATTAATGCAGATTAAACTGTTTAATAACACTTAGGGATGGAATGATAGGAAAACCAGCAAATCTGAAACTTGTAAAATGCTGGATTTCCTGTGCTTACCATGAACTATATCATAACTCACCCTTCTACTTATCTGAAACCCATGAAAATATAATTCTTCAGTCACTCCCTTCAGCTTCTGCCAAGAGGTTTATATTTATT